AGAGAGAGAGAGAGAGAGAGAGAGAGAGAGATCACCGATCAATTATTTTTGGAGAAAGATCACCGATTATTATAAAAAAAATAATATCATAAGAATGCAAAAATGCAAGCCAAATGAGTGCCAAATTCAAGATCTGCTAAAGTTAATCGAAAAATATAAAATTAATTGTTTGTCTTATATAATTTTACATCTATAATTTTACAAGAGAAAGAAAACAGATTTTTCAAGATAGATAGGTTTCGACATTCTGTTTGAATAAATTGTTATTGATCGTAAAAAAGTAAATTTAAATCGTGTTCAATTTTATATTTGATTACTCACCCTTGTTAGTGAGAATCTTTTTTTAAGTTCGCCACAATGCACTAACGCGAATAAATTTCGATGTTCAAGTTACGAACCGTCGCCGTTCGCGTACGGACCGCGACTAACTAACCATGGCTATAGCCTTCTCTGACCGCTACCAACATACGAATTTTCCGTTACTACCACGGTTACAATAGCTAGCTGGCGCAGCGCGAGCGCGTGTATCAGACTATAAGACGACTGCCAACCATTATCAGACTGCAGTAGAAACAGCTATTAAAGCAAGTCGTCTCTGCGGGTGGGTAGCCGTTCGTACTTCCGCCAGTGTATTGCCGTAGAGTTAGAGCAACCTAGAGTCCAAGTAGAATTTTTACAGCCGATAGCATAACATGCGTAAGAGTGAAAAGAAACCGAAGTCGTGACAGTATTTCAGAGTATTCTTTCGTGTCTCGAATGTTGTCTGAAATCGCGACCGTCGAGATAGTCACGCGCGATCTCCCCGTATATTCACGAACAATGTAATCTGAAAGAGACAAAGAGAGAGAAAGACAATTTTTCCAATTTTCTTACTCAATCCTATCTAGAAAACAAAACGGATTACACTGTTCGTGAATTTACAAAAAATTTACGCGACTATATTTCGACTGCAGTCTCAATGTTTCAGGTAACATTCAAGACACAAAATTTTCCCTATCATCTATGATCGTGTTGTCAAAAATAAATATAATCAAATATGAAATATGATTTTTTAATGTTCACTTCAACCAACGTAGATTAACTTTAATCTCGGTTTAACTTGCTCTTTATTTTTTCTAATTCTAAGAATTAGAATTCTTATTCTAAGAATTAGAAAAAAATAAACAGTAAATTAAATCGATATTTAGGTTAGTATTACATTGGATGGAACTGGATCTAACAAAAACAAACAAATTTTAAGGATTTCTTCAAAAACCTGTTGACCTTGATGTGACGACATAAAAGTTCGTATCACGGATGAAAATGAGACTGAGTAGAATGCTGCTCCAGACGCTACAGTTGCTTATTAAATGAATTCAACACACAAGCATCTCAGAGTATTCGATCAACGATTCTTTAATATGATTTGTTCTTGCCTTTAATTTTTTGCTGAATTTAACAAAAACGAATCAGAATAAAGAACTACTAACTACCACTGAGCTAAAACGTAGCATCTAGAAACATTTGTTGGTCTCACTTTCATCTGTGATACGTAAACTTATTATAATTATAATTTGGTACTGTCTGGCCGAATGGGACTTTCTTTCATTTATTAAACATTCTACAGCAACGTTAAATGTCTATACGATTTATACATCACAAACAAGTTTTTAAAGATGCTCTTTAAAAAAAATAGATTAATAATCAACGATTATAAATTCTTTATACGCATATTATATTTCATTCAATTCTTTATACGTATCTATATACGCATATTATAATATAATGTGGTGCATGTATAAATTTTTTCAGTAATAATAAAATGACAACACTAAAAATAATGTATAAAAAATATAGAAAGATATATAATAGAAATTTAATTAATTAGCATAATTTGTACATATTGTAAAAGCAATTTGCGATATAATACCTAATACAGTCAGGCCATTTTTAAATAAATAATCCGAAATGTCAACATGCAAGTCGCGTTTTACATAAAAGTAGGCAAAGCGAAACATATTCTTTGTGACACAAAGAAACTATATGAAAGAAATTTATAATATATATTACATTAATAACTTATAATATTTTAACTTTTTTATTCTTTACTGCTGAATAAAATTCAGTTTAAAAAGTAAACATAAACATGCACAAACAAATTACTATATATTTATTAAGTATTTTTATTGTACATTTATGTCATATGTTCTTTTCATCGACATTCATTGACCTTAATTATTTTTGTGTCTTTTATCCTTTTAAGATATATTTTTATTTAAATTGCTTTTTTAAATTACATTTTTTGTAATGCAGCAAATGTATCACTTAAAAATGTTTCATGGTTTTTTTTACGCTAATTATACTTTATAATAAAGTTTTTATAAAGTATATAATTACATGATTATTATCAACTAAGACGCAAGGTCCGATTCAGAGAAAAAACGCAACCTTTGTAATCGGGAAAAAATAATTTATTCTACGACTGTAAAACCTGTCTTTTACTTATCTTTTAATCTCCGGTCCAGCTCAAATGATATCAATGTTAGTAATATGTTGTATATAATTATAATTATAATAAATAAATTCTCAAAACGCAAATTTAAAATAAACAGATATTATCAATTAATTTTTATATCACACTTTTACATACACGTGAGTGATGAAAAATTCTATCTTGCTATCTAATATTTAAATGTTTAATAAGGATGTGTAAACGTCAAGAAGAATTTTTTGTTATTTTTAAAAATAATTTTTGAAATTTCATTTATTATTATAGAGTCCTTAACTTTGTATTCCAATAACTTGTGAATACATGCTTTATAATAGCTTGTATATTAAATTAGGATTTATAATTTTTAAGTGAGGTTCAAAAGTCATAAGCACTATGACAAGCACTAATTTTTATCATACTATCAAGAACATGAGATAAAAAGCTCAGATAAATGTTTGTAAACAATTATCCGGTAAAAAATCGTTCATGCATGAATATGTATAAATATGTATAAACATACATAAACACACATTAATATTCATAAACATATTTAATTATATATGAAATATATTCATAAATGTTCAGACATCTTTTTTTCTTTTATATAATTATACATGTTTATGAATATCTATACGTATTTACGTATGTTTATTATATACATATTTATAGATATTCACGTAGGAAAAATTTTTCCCGGGGATAATTTATTGGCTATTTTAAACTTTTGAGCTACATTATTCTGAACATCTTAAAGTTGAAATCATATACATAATATTCCATTTTATATCTATGGTTAAAATATTTTCCAATAAAAGCAATTTAATGTATATTTATAATAATTGAAAAATACTCTTAACGAATATTTCACTGTGAGTTTGATTCTAAAAATTTTACACGAGAAAGAGATTCTTCGAAAATTTTACTTGAAAAAGAGATCCTTTTCTACGCACAAGCTGTCGATATAAAAAAAGTAAGGTTTTTTAAGAACGTTCACTTTATTTGGGACAATAAAATCTTGATCTTGATGTCCTTGAGATACGTTCTGCGAAAGATAATATAACACAAATAAAATCGAATAGTAAATCAAATTTTATATTGCGTAGTCGCATCATTACGGAATAAAAAATTGTAGTCTGTAAAATATTAAAAATATCGTGAATTAGTGACTCTTGAGAGAATAAGAGAGAGAGAGAGAGAGTTATTAAAAGATTAAATTTTAACTCTCACTTAATAATATATGTGTCACATCTAAAAATAATACAAAGATATAAAAATTTTATGAATTGTTTTATTATTATGTCTGAGTATCGATGTTGATAACACTCAATTTATTATTTGCTGTTTTACTGGGTAGACGTATTACAGTGTCTATACTTATTACTTTTATAAAATTCGTCGTTTGATCGAACTATCTATTGGATTTTTATATTGTCTGATCTAAATGAGTAATATTTCCGAATTAAACATTCACAACTTGTTATTTTTGGGTCCTGCACATTTTAATCAGTTCATCGGTGAACCCGAAACCAATGTTTTTTTTTTGTCAAGACTAATAAAAGCGAATAATTTCATATTTTACATGAAAATTTATTTATAAGGATTTTCTTTTAATTGCTGATGATAAATCCAGCCAAAGAAAACATGTAGTTGTGGCATGCTTTTATGTATATATGTATATATATAGATCATAATCAGTGAACTGATTATTCATGCTTGTAACTGCTGTTGGCTTTGAGGTGAGTCCACTTTTAATTAAATTTAAATAATCTTAATTAGATATGTTAAATATGACATTTGCTTTTTTAAATTCTTTACAGTGAAATCTGTGTCCACTATATTATTGTCAAACAGCCTGTATATTCATACATCTCCTCATATAACGAGATGTTTTATCTCACGGTATACAGTAGGATATATCAATGACGTACACTGTTAGAAATGTAACCACGAGCTTCCTTTACATGTAAATGAAGCTAGTGGTTATGAACGAAATTAAAATGAATGATTTAACTGAAAATTAAGTTACAGTAGTTACTTAAATGTAATGAACGTGTACATTAAATTTATGAAATTTAATGTACTTTTAATAAAATTTTATGAAAAGTACATTAAATTTCATAAATTTTCATGAAAAATACATTAAATTTTATGTACATGTACATAAATATACTTTTTAGTTACAAATACATTAAATTTAATGTAATGTCATGAAATTAAATTCAAATTAAATTCAATTGTGTAACTTAAAAGTTAATGAAATTTAAGAACATTTCTAACAGTGTACACGATCTGTAACCACCTCGCCGAAGATGGCTCGAAAAAGAAAATGAAATATATAGTGTAACTGTATTCAAAATGTAATTGTATTCAAAATTTTATCTGATATGTCAATTTATTATTGCACACTAAGTACTGCGCTCTGCAACATTCGCCGTTCTCTCTTTTATTATTTGTATAAATTTTTAGTACTGATAGAGTTTATATATATATATATATATATCCGAACACAGCCTTAATACAAAACACGGAAGACATTTAAAATGTATGAAATGTAGCGACAAAATAAAATCGAAACATAAAATACAATAGATAGCGTAACAAGAAATGAAACATTGAAAAAGATTTAATCGCATCGATAACAAACAACAAATTATGCAAGAGAAAAAATCAAGGACAGCAAAAATCTCCAGTAATCTTCTTCATAAAAATATATATTAGCGAAAAATATATTTGATATTCTTGGAAAATGTACTTGTTGCGAAACGTTATCACCTAATGACCGTTCCTGATGACATTTAACAAATATTTTATATTTAGGATCAACGATTACTCACATATTTGGCATAATAAGGATATGTTATGATAATTTTTTAAATAACACAAAGTAATAATGTTTCACGCAAGTGTAATAACATATGAAACGTTAAATGATACGTATCGTAGAGTCTATCTTTTGGATGTTGACTCTGATCAATGTAATGAAGCTATAGGGGTCAACTATAATAAGATAT